TTAAAGGTCCGAAACGACCCAGGTGAGTCCTGTTTGTCATTACCTCACTGATGTTCACATTCTAGAGTGTGTATATATGAACTTAAACTGGTAACGAGTGATCCACCAAAACGTAATGTCTTTTAATTAGAATCCTGCAAAGCATTTACAGATTATCTTTTTAAACAGCCCAAACAAATGTTAAACATTTTTATGTAAATATTTATAGATGATTTTTCATGCTACATTGCCTTATTCATAATTATTTGAGTAACCATGAATCTGTTGTTGATCGAGGCATTGGCAGTGTTCATTGGACATGGCTGTTCAGTCCAATAGCTACATATGCTCAAAAGGTATCTCATCCCTCTCAGTGTAATTCAAATTTACAATAACATCCACCTATAAGTTTAAGAAAAGTGTGGATTCAAACTGTGTTGTTACGTAAAGTTAAGGCAGTACTACTTTTTTTTTCTGAAACACAGGGTGCTTGAACACCCTAACATCTCCACTCAGGGTGCTTGAACAAGAAAACAAAAATTGACTGTCATCTGTTATGTGTTTACAGGTGCAGCAGACCCTTCTGTCACAATTCTTGGTCACACAAACAATGGGGCGCAGCTTAAGTGTGACGTTAAGGGTGCTTACCCTAAACCTACAGTGGAGTGGCAGGATAGTAAGAATCAAATCATTCCTTCTGAGGATCAGACCCTTAAAAGAGGAGAGGACTTCTACGTCACCCTAAAAGCTACTGTAAGAAAGACTGACTACTATCGCTGTGTTGCCACACAGAAGGAAATTCACCATCGGTCACATACGAAAATCTATGTATATATGAATGGTGAGTGGCATTTTAATATTTAAATATTTTAAAGAATTATTGCTTTTCAAAAATGTGAATATGAGCTCAGCCTGATTGCAAAGAATGACATTGTTATAGAAACAAAGGTTAAATAAATAAAATCATAAGGACATGCAGTCAAATGTCTGGAAAATCTTCCCCCCAAAAAGTCCCACTCTAATATTTTGTTGTAGTTTAATAGTTTAATAGTTTAATTATTTTTATAGCACATTTAATTACAACAAGAGTGTTGACCAAAGTGCTGTACAAGAATACAACATACCTAATAAAACAACTTAGAGTATTAAAAGCAAACACCAAATATGAATTAACAAATAACTCTCATGCTGTATTAAAAGCCAGTA